AGGGGCCGAGGGCGGGTGGATCGCCTGAGGTCAGGAGTTCGAGACCAGCCTGGCCAGCGTGGTGAAACCCCGTCTCTACTAAAAATCAAAAATTAGCCAGGCGAGGTGGCAGGTGCCTGTAGTCCCAGCTACTCGGGAGGCTGAGGCCAGAGAATCGTTTGAAACTGGAAACAGGGGTTGCAGTGAGCCAATATCGGCCACTGCCACTCCAGCCTGGTTGATCAGAAGCAAGACTCTGTCTCAAAAAAAAAATAAGAAAAAACAAAAAGTTTTCATGTGTTTAATGAAAGTGCTGGGATGACAGGCATGAGCCGCCGCACCTGGCCCTGACTTAAATCTTGTATTCTTTGACTAAGTGCAACTGTTTTATATTCCATATAAGTGAGATCCTGTGGTATCTTTCTCTGCCTGGCTTATTTCAGTTGACGTAGCATCCTCTAGGTTAAGATACGTATATGTTACGCAGGCTCCATCTTGACAAAAACCAAAAACAAAATCGGACCTGTGCGTTGGTGCGTGTGCCTGTGGTCCTAGCTACTCACGAGGCTGTGGTGGGAGGATTCCTTGAGACCAGGAGTTCAAGACCAGCCTGGGCAACATAGTGAGACCCCATTGCTACAAAAAATTTTTAAAAAGTAGCCAGGCGTGGTGGTATCCGTCTGTAGACCCAGCCACTAGGGGGGCTGAGGTGAGAGGATCATTTTGACTCGAGAGGTTGAGGCTGCAGGGAGCTATATGACTTTGCCACGGCACTATAGCCCAGGTGACAGCGAGACCCTGTCTCAAAAAAATAGATAAAATTATTTATATATATATATAATAAACATAATTTTATACAAATGTATTTATTATACATAAATATATAAGTATTTTATATACTTTTACAATATAAAAATATATTTAATACAATTATTTTTAAAATATATTATCATTTATATAGTACATATATATTATATATTATTATTTTAATATATCATAATTATATATTATATTTAATATTTTTTTTTAATAAAAAAAAAAAAAAAAATTATATTATTATATATATTATATTATATATAAAATAGATTTAATGTGATAGGGACTATATAATATACTAATATTCTATATATATAATATTGTATCATATATAATTAATCATGTATACTTACATATATTTAATTAATCATAATTGAATATGCACATAATCACACAATAACATATAATAATATATAATATATACTTATATATTATCACATTTAATATAATTACTATGTATAATTAACATATATTTAATATATAATATGCATATAATCACACGATAATATAATTAAATACTATACGTATGTGATTTAATATGTATTATATGTATAGTTTACATCTATTTCATATTTGAAATAACTGTACATATTATCCATTGTAATCATAGATTTCCATAATAATTCTATATATATAAATATATAATTACATTTTTATAATATAATATACTCGATATACTAAACTAATGATAAACAAGATCCCTATTACATAAATCTATTTTAACAGTGTGTTATATAATCTATAATATAATCTATTGTAACAGTATTATTATGATGGTGGTATAACTATATTACATTAATGTAACTTATGACATTAATCATTACCTTAATATTCATCCGCAAAATTAATCATTAAAAAGTTAATCATTTAAATCAGATCCAAAAATATGATTAATATATAATCTATAATAAAATATATTAATATGTGCATATTACAGTATAATATAATATATAACACAATAGATTACAAATATATAATCTATAAATTATTTGCATAACGTATAATTATGTATAATTAATATATGTGTAATACATAAATTATATGTAATTGTAAATATAATTCTATCACGTCACGTTATATAATGTATCATTATGTAGACATGATGTGTGATGTAGATGAGTATAACCCATATAGACGCAGATGGTGGATGATGGGTGAAGCCTACTGGCGCCGGCAGACGTCCCACGCTCACCATTCTTTGGCAGGGACGACAGTTAGAATCACCTCTTAGGGTGACTTTGGATCACACCGTTTCTCCGTGTTAGTTGCAGCCAGCATGCTGGGCACAGACCTCTGGGGTCTCCTCCTCTCACGGCTGACTTCTCTACGCTGCCAGGGCCTCACCCGTCCCACCGCAGCCTTGGCTCCCACCCGGACCTCTCTGTCCTGGAGTCTGGGTCCTGAGCCTCCATGGCTCGTGTTGGTCGTGAAGGGTTTGTGCTTCCAGCCGGAGCGCGGCTCTCCCCCTGCCCACGGCTCTCAGGAACAGGGGCCTCCTCTCTTTCCCAAGGCCCGCGTGGACCCCCACGTGTGAGGGTGGCAGAGGCTTCCCACAGTGTCCGCCCGTCTCCCCGCCCGAGACCTCACATGGGCTCCCCGCTTGGGATGTATTCCAAGCAGCCCTCCTCAGACAGCTCCGGAGAAACGTTCAACGTCGTTTCCTCATAGAATTCCGAGACCTGGTGTGCAGCTGATGGTCTGCAAGGACAGAGCCCTGGGGGTGAGCCTGGCCGCCAGCTTTGTCACCGCGTGCCCTGACAGTGGCATGGCTGTGCTGTGGAGGTGTGGACTCGAGTGTAGTGCACAGTTGAGATATGGATGGTTCATGGGGAAAGAGGGGTTCGTCTCAGACAAGCAAAAGAGAGAAGGGCAGTTGTGCTTTAGTTTTTTTTTTTCCGGCGTGCGTGCTCAGGCCGTCCATGCACCAGGCCCTTTTGGAGGGGCTGAGGCAGGTGGATCACCTGAGGCCAGGAGTTCGACGACCATCCTGGCCAACATGGCTAGAAAACCCATTGCTTTACTAAAAATACAAAAATTAGCTGGCGTGCGTGATGGGCGCGCTGAATCGCCAGCTACTGAGGCAGAAGAGATCGCTTGACCTGGGAGGCAGAGGTTGCAGTGTAAGGCTGAGATTGGCACCACTTGCAGGTGCCCAGGCCTGGGCAACAGAGCGACGACTCTGTCTCAAAAAAAAAAAAAGACAGAGAGACAACTAGCCGGCACTTTTCCTTTCTACTGCAACACTTCCAAATCGCAGCTGACAAACTTTCCCAGGCAGCGCATAAGCACAACCCTCTCTGGGGGTTCGTGGGGTGGGTAACCGTCCTCCCTCCTCCGCCCAGTCCTGAGAAGTGTCCCGGGTTCTTCTCTGCCGGCTGCTGGGGGGACCTCGATCCCCCGGGCCCGCGGTTACCTGCTTGGCTGGAGCAGTGACGGATGGCGACCGCCTTGACACAGCGCTGTGCTCTTTCCCACTTCAAACCTGGCAAGACAATCAACCGTGGACCCGATGCTGCTGAAACGTGGGAGCTACACCAAGCCGAGTCTGCCAAAAACCCAGGGAGGCCGCGAGGTCTTGGTCGCGTGGCTCCGTCCCCTGGTCGCTGGCTCCATCCCCAGTCTCTGCTTCCCGACGGTCCTGCCATGTGGTCTCCAGGGAAACCTTTACGGAGAGGCCAAGGAAGGCGTCACAAATCCCACGAGCCGTGGCCCTGACGGGAGGCCCCAGGCCAGGCAGCCCTCAGCTGGGCGTATGACGGGCAGGGAGGGGCGCGTCTCTCCCATGTCCTGGGATGGGAACGAGATGCCAGGCTGTGGGCTCAGGTCCAGGACGCCCAGTGGGAAGCACAGGGCACTGCCAACTTCTCATGGCCCCAACAGTCTGCAGTGGGCGTGAGACACTCTGGGATCGGTGCTGCAGAATCCCAGACAAGGGTGAGCATGCAGGGATGGTGCCTGCCTCCCTGCATAGCTCAGAGAGCACAGCTCAGACAGTACAGCTCAGAGAGCACAGCTAAGACAGTACAGCTCAGAGAGCACAGCTCACACGGCACAGCTCAGACAGTACAGCTCACACAGCAGAGCTCACACGGCACAGCTCACACGGCACAGCTCACACGGCACAGCTCACACAGTACAGCTCAGAGAGCACAGCTCACACAGCACAGCTCAGAGAGCACAGCTCAGACGGCACAGCTCAGACAGTACAGCTCACACAGCACATCAGCAGAGGCTCACACCAGCACCAGCTCACCACCAGTACAGCTCACCACGGCATCACACGGCACAGCTCACAACAGTACAGCCCTCAGAGACACGGCTCCCACACAGGCACAGCCTCACACGGCAGCAGCTCACACGGCACAGAGCTCACACAGCACAGCGCTCAGAGAGCACAGCTCACACAGCACAGCATCAGAGAGCACAGCTCACACCAGCACAGCTAGAGAGCACAGCTTCAGACCACGGCCACAGCTCAGGACAGCACAGCTCACACAGCAGACAGCTCCACAAACAGCCACAGCTCACAGCAGTAAAGCTCCAGAGAGGCACAGCTCCACAGACCGACACAGACGGCAGCAGCTCACACCAGCAACAGCTCACACAGGACGATGGCAGACGGCACAGCTCACACAGCACAGACACACGGACAACAGCTCACACAGCACAGCTCCAGGAAGCCACAGCTCACACGCAAACACGCTTCCAGAAATGGAGCACAGACAGCCACAGCGCTCACGACAGCAAACAGCTCAGAAGCACAGCTCACAAGCAGCACAGCTCAGACCAGCACAGCTCAGACTATATCTTCTCTATGACAGCCACAGGCTCAGGCAAACACGCAGCTCACACAGTCAGAGGTCCACACAAGCACCAGCTCAGAAACCAAGCGTCAGAGAGCCACAGCTCAGAGAGCACAGCTCAGCATAACGGCACAGCTCACAGCAGCACAGCTCAGAAAGCAGCAGGCCTCAGACAGCACAGGCTCCAGACAGTAACAGCACAGACAAGTACAGCTCCAGACAGCACAGCTTCAGACAGCGCAGCTCACCACAGCAGAGGTCCCACGACAGCGACAGCTCAGAAAGCAAGAGCTCAGAGAGCACAGCTCAGAGAAGCACAGCTCCACACGGCACAGCTCACAACAAGCACAGCTCAGAGAGCACCAGCTCACACAGCACAGCTCAGAGAGCACAGCTCACACGGCACAGCTCAGAGACACAGCTCAGACGACACAGCTCAGACAGTACGCTACACAGCAGAGTACCACAGCACAGCTTCACACAACAGCTCAGAAGAGCACCAGCTCACACAGACAGCAACAGACGGCACCGCCTCGACACCAGCACAGCTCACACGACGAGTGGCAGAAGGCACAGCTCCACAGCAGCTCACAGGCGCCCACAGCTCACACAGCACAGCCTCAGGAAGCAAAGCTCACACGCACAAGCTCAGACAGATACAGCAGACAGCACAGCTCACACAGCACAGCTCCAACAGCACACTCAACACAGCCACAGCTAAAGAACAGCACAGCTCAGACAGTACAGCTCAGACAGCACAGCTAAAGCACAGGGCCAGCTCACACAGCAGCAGGTCACACAGCCAACAGCTCAGAAAGCACAAGCTCAGGAGGAAGCGACAGCTCAAGGAGAGCACAGCTCACACGGGCACAGCCTCACACAGCAACACTCAGAGAGACAGCTTCACACGAGCACAGCTCAGACAGCACAGTCAGACCAGCGGCAGCTCAACAGGCAGCAGAGCTCACACAGCGACAGGCGGTCAGAAAGGCAGAGCTGCAAGAGCAGCGAGCTCGAGAGCAGCCACAGCTCGACACGCGGCACAGCTCACACAGCACGCCAGCCTCCACAGGCACAGCTCAGGAGCACAGCTCCACACGGCAAACAGCTCAGACCAGATGATCACAGACAGCACCAGGCTCAACACGGCCAACAAGCTCACGACCGGCACAGTCACACAGCACAGCTCCAAGAGCACAGCCTCACACAGCACAGCATCCAGAGAGCACACAGCTCAGAGGCAACAAGCTCAGACAGCACCGCTGCACCAGCAACAGCTCAAGAGCAACAGCTCGACCCGCGCGGCCAAGAACGGGCCACAGCTTCAGACAGCACAAGCGATCACACAGCAACAGCTCCAGAGAGCAGCAGCTGCAAGACGCACAGCTCAGACAAGTACAGCCTCAGAACAGCTACAGCCTCACACAGTACAGCTCATCACAGACCAGTGCCAGACCGGCCACAGCCTCACACGGCACAGCTCCACACGGCCAACACTCAACACAGCCACGGCCT